CAGACTTTGCAAAGAATGACAAGGAACTTATTTAAGCTGGCTGGTAGTTGACTCCAGCCAAAGATTTAGACTGAGCTTACCTAAGGAGTATTTAGAATAGTTTCTTAAGTGGTCCTAACCTCCTGGTCTGTGTCCTTCAGTTTTGCTCTCTTAGTAAAATACAAGCTGGGTAGTCTTGTGTCATGGAAATCTGTGATAAAAGCAGTCTTCTGTGAAGGCCTTTCTGTGAGAGCCCATGACAGAACACAAGAGTACAAGCCGGTTTTGCTCTTCCAGGGATCAATTCCCAGCATCTACATAGACTCTCACAAACCTTCTGTAATTCCAAAGCCCTCTGGCCTCTGTGGTCACCAGGCACGAAAGTGGCACAGAGGCATAGATGCAGGTAAAACTCCCATATATGTAATAATACATTTAAATTATAGTTGTGTGTGTGTGTGTGTATGTGTGTGTGTGTGTGTGTGTGTGTGTGTGTGTGAGAGAGAGAGAGAGAGAGAGAGAGAGAGAGAGAGAGAGAGAGAGAGAGTGCTCATACAATATAGCATACATATAGAAATCAGAGGACTATTTGTGGAGGCCAGTTCTCACTGTGGGGATTCTGTGTGGGACCAAAGTCAGGTTGTCAGGCACAGTGACAAATGCTTTGATCTGTTGAGTCATCTCATAGACCTTGAAAACTCGTTTTTAAAAAGTCTTACCCTTTTGAATAAAGGAGGAACCCTAATGGCCTCACCTCTTAAAGAGCCCACTACCATGTTGTCTGACCTGGGGAGTCAAAGCCCAGCAGTAACTATCAGAAGAAAATTAAAAATACTGAAAAAAGTCAAAGCCCAGCAGTAACTATCAGAAGAAAATTAAAAATACTGATGTCAGACAGTTTTATTAGTCCTTTACATATTGGAGGAACAAATTTAAAAACACATTTATCAGATCTTTTTAAAAGTAATATAAAAGGAAATAATGGAAAAATACCATTTTCATATTGTTTTAAAAACAATTTCATCTGGATCTGGGAGCCAAGTTTATTCAACTGAAAAATAAAAGATAAATGTCTTTGGAATTTACAGTTTTAAAAATACCATATGGAAATACTGTTTTGGGGTTCACAGTTCAAGTAAATCATGCTTTTGTTTGTCTGTTTCTTGCTACTACAGCTTTAATGACATTGGTAGGGACACATAACTTCTGGCACAAATCCGACACCAAGGGACTAACCTAAACTAAAAATGGAAATGGATACACTAAGGTATTACATTATTGAACTGCTTAACAGGCAAGCTGTCCAAACCTCCCAGAAGTCACTAAGAGCTAATAAAGGCTGGTCTTCCGCATCATCCTCAAGAATTCTTCCTCATTTATCTCTCCATCCCCATCACGATCAGCTTCATCAAGCATTTCCTGTAAAACAAATGTAACACGAAAGACCAAAACTATTAAAGAGGTGTAGTGATAGAAACTCAACAGGAATTTTTGCTTTTAATGTGTAAGTATAACTAAGTTACACAAACCATATAAAACTATACACACAGTATAACTATAAAATAAACGAGATTTACCTGCAATTCATCTTCAGTTAAGTTTTCCCCTAGCTCCTTGGCAACCCTCTTGATGTTATTTAGTGATATGCTTCCAGTAGCATCGTCATCAAATAATTTAAATGCCTTCAGTATTTCTTCCTTCTCATCTTTTTCACTCTTAAGAGAAGGAAGTGTCATTGGTTGTTTATTTGTTCTATCAAGCTGGACTTAGTAGGTGCTGGACTTAGTAGGTGCTGGACTTAGTAGGTGCTGGACTTAGTAGGTGCTGGACTTAGTAGGTGCTGGACTTAGTAGGTGCTGGACTTAGTAGGTGCATTAATTCTACAGCTGTGTGTGCATATTTGTATCAGGGGGTTGAGTTCTTTAAACAATTATTTCAGCATACTCACATAAGACAGTAAGCTCCGAGAGCTGAGGTTATTCTCAGGAACAGTGGCCAAAGTAGGCACTCTGTGATTGCCAAGTACAGGACTTTGGGGTTTGGGCTCCCATCTATCTTGCCAGATATCAGTACTTCCCGTCTAAACTCTTCTCTACAATCTTTACCACTCGGAAAATAGCTCTGTCCTTGCTGTCATATCCCTCCCACCCACCCTCAATACCTATATCCAATTCGCCCATGAAATCTCCATGCTCCAGCCCTAGCCATGGACAAGACCCTGCTGGTGTTTCTTTGAAAAATAGACTATACCATTTTTACACTCATAATGGCAAAAAAGTCTTCAAAACAAATGGTGCCAGTCCCTTCCCTGTCGATTTCAGTTATCAATTGTTTCATTTCTTCTTTCTTTGGCTCAAATCCTAAGGCCCGCATTGCAATCTGCAATAGGAGGGGGACATATTTTAACAATGCCATCTCATTTTGAACTTTTAAATTACTAATTAGAAGCATATAAAACTATACATACATTATAATTATAAAATAAACAAGATTTACAGAGTAGGTGACTTTGATAATTCTGGGTTTTGACTGACTCATCAACCAAGGACACAACTAAAATGTTACAAGATATTGTTTTGTTGACTCAGGGCAACTATATGTACATACCTTTCAGCAGAATGCCATTACAGGTGGCATCTGTGAGCAAGTCTAGTGGTAGAGCCCTGGGTTCCATCCCCATAAGACACAGACACACAGACAGACAGACACAGACACACACACACAGACAGACAGATGCATGTGCGCACATATACAGTGTGGTTTTTCAAATGTCTTAGAAATAATTTCAGAACCTTCAATTCTTTCAGATCTATGGTTCCAGATCCATCAATATCAAATAAGTCAAAGGCCTCTTTAATTTCTTGCTTTTGGGTGTCATTCAGTTCAACTTTTGCTGCTTTTTTCTTCCATTGGTCTAAAGTTACGCGATGGCTGGATGCCTGCAATAAGCATACACATGGGTGAAAACTGTATAACTAGAACAACATAGTCAACTATCCCGTTTCCTTTTATAGAATGAGCTTGTTTCCTCCGTTAATACTTTTGGTTATTAACATCTTTTCCCCCCATCTTTTGAGACAGGGCCTCCCTATGGAGCCCAGACTGCCCTGGAACTCTCAGTTCTGCCTGAGTCTCCCTAAGTATGATTATTTGATAGAAAATGTGTTTTTTCTTCTCTTAGATTTCCCTCTTAAAACTAAAACTAAAGCTTTTGAAGGGATAAGCAGCTAAGCTAGCATAAAACTGTGGTGTATCAGAATGCAGATAGTTTATGAGGGACAGAATTATTTTAAGAAATGTGTGCCTCTTGTATGTGTATCACAGTACTTGCTTGATGTAGTGAGAATTTTAATTTCTTTGAAAGACACAGAAATATTATGGGACTATGTTTTTGTTTTAATCCCAAGTGTGAGATATGGGGCTACTTCAGATTGTTCACAGCAACTGTTTATGATTTGCCTTGTGCTCTAGCAGGGGTGTGATTTTGCCAGTTGCAGACAGTTGCTTCGATTGTGTAACTTTTGGAATTTAGGCAACTTTTCAAGGTGCATAAATGCTAAGGCCTCAAGAGGCGGGTTGTAGTTGTTGGTGGTTGTTTTGGTTTGTTAGTCATGTGCAAAGAAGAAATTAGATATCCTGACAGCAAAGATTAAACTTGTCCCAAGGAACTCTACACCCTCAGCTACTACTACCCTCTACTACTTCAATAGGAAGTAGTCTAACAGTAACGCAATTCTTTTCCCCTCTATCCTTTTTTCTCTCCTATCTAGCATTAGAAGTTTGAAAGGGTGGGAAAGAGTGGAAGAAAGAACCCACAAAGTAGCAAACGGCTCAGGGGACTGCTTACTAGAACACAATCATCCTCTCCCACTTTTCAGTATTAAGTGCCCTGCACCAGAGACGCAAAAGTGAAAAACCATGTTTTTGGTGAACATCTACTCCACAGATCTGCAGGAGAATGTTTGGCCAGTTACGGGGATGCACTTAACGTGTGGAAGATGAAGGACCTTTCTGCTGTTTGCTTCTTTATGTCACTAAACTGGGTTACAGAACCACAGTAGACTCTTCTCTCTGCAGGTGGAGTGGGGAAGCCTGGAGGTGGCTGGGGATCTAAGTGGACAACTTTGTGTAAATTATTGGCTGTGTTCACTCTGGTTTCTTGGTTCTAGAGCTGCAGATTCTGATGAATGTTCTTCTAGAGCCTAAGGCAGCCACGAGAGTCACCATTTTTCAGCAAGAGGCCCCTTAGCTCTGAGTGGCCTGAGTTGGTGAACCCCTGACCATAAGGACTGAGTCAATGGACCCCTTCCTCTCAGTAAAAGAATTGCTGGTCCTCTGATCATCAGTGGTTATAGCTAGGTGCCCTGCTTCCAGTCAGCGGCTGAGCTGGTGGCTCCCTGACCCTCAGAGGTCCCTTTCCGTCAGCGGCTGAGTTGATGGGCCGCTGGCTGTTGGTGGCCCGAGATTGATGGCCTCTGCTGTGCTGGCTTCCCAGTTTGAAGCCCCTCAGTCTCGGCAGTGGTCTCTGTGCCCCAGGGCCATATATCTCTTTATCACCGGGCCACCCCTCATAGACTGCAGACGTTGGTGGATAAACGAAAAGGGAGACCCATCTCTGTTCCTTGGCATTGTCACTAAAGGTAAGTATCCAAGGATCCTGACACGAAAGGCAGTAAGTTGGAAAGAACACCAGGGTCCCCCAGCACTCACCATATTCCCTACCCGTGTCCCTGCCCGCGCCCGCGCCAACAGCCACCCTCCCCTCCAAGGCGCTCGCTTCTCAGGGCCGGCGGTTGCTATAGCGGCGGTCAGAGCGCAAGCCCGCCCCCCAACTCCCGTGATTGAGGGCCATTGCGCCCAATGGAAAGACAAAGATGCTCTGACGCACTCAGGTAGGCGGGAGTGGTTGGGTTCCGGTGCTGTGCAGATCCGCGCGTGGTGAGGAGGGTCGTGGGCCTTGCGGGCCCCGAAGGCAGGAAGGGTCGGGGCGAGCGCTCTGACCCACGTGTCACCCAGACCCTCCACACACTGGACCAACCGCCCTGCGGCCTTCCGGGCCTCAGAGCCGCCCGAGGGCACCGGGCGGCTTGGAGCCCGAGGGGTGAGTGGGGCTGTCCTCGCGGGGCGGAACCCAGCCCGGACCGAGGACGGCGTGGGCCATCTCCTGGGCTGGAAGAGTGCAAAGCAGTCTCTCTTCTTAGAGTGCTGGAGTAAAACATGGCGCATTCCCAAAGTCGCCGCCTCACCTTGCAGACACTCACGTTGTAATCCTTAAATCTCCTTAGGCTCCTGGGGAATAGGTAAGTTTATCCTTAGAGTAGAAGCCAGTTTTCCTGCCTTAAGTTTTCTCAGTGGGAATTCAAAGGATGTAAATTCATAATATTTTGTGAGTGAAGTAAAGTGTTAAATCATTTACCTATAATCTGTTGGTTTTTTTCAAGCCACGTATCTCATCTCAAAAGTTGCACTTGGACAGTTTTCAAAGTCATAATTAATACTAATTTTAAATAGATTTCTGAAACCCAGAAACGAATATTAGTCATACACACAGACAGACAGGTGGCGCGCGCACGCGCGAGCACACACACGCGCGCGCGCGCGCGCTCACGCATGGGGGTTGGGGGGGGCGGAAGCCGACTTTTAGGCTTTCCTGAATCTCATTTGATCTGATAGGTATCAAAGGCTGCTACACCTAAATAAATCTTACATCACGATGATTTAGGAATTTGGATGTTCTAGTTTTAGAGTTTGTGGTTTGTGATAGGTTGAACGGGGTAGACTTTTCTGAAAAAGAAATTTGGGAACGTATTTAAAGATAGCTAAGGCAGTAGGTTTCTTGAAGAAGAGTATTCCAGAAAGAGGGATACTGAGACAGAAATACTGAGGTAGGGAGCGTGCTTTGCATAGTCTAAAAGCGCAAAGAAGACCTGAGCAAAGCAGATGAGTCAGAAAGGAAGAAGTGTGGGTTTTAGTGTTGTGTGGGGACAAGGCCTTTATTTGAGTGAGATAGGAAGACTTTGTAAGATTGAGTATAAGTGAAAGGGCGTGACTCACTTTTATAGGAACTCCTCCCTGTGCCAAACAGGACTAAAGACTATTTTCTGAGAGGCCTCTAAGCAGTGGAATGTTGTGGTTAGATTATGGTGTTAGGAGTAGACTGGAGAGGACCAGACTTAGTCCTGATGAGATGGAAATCCTAGTTATATACCTCTCAAAAAATACAGAGCTTTTAAACATAACTCCTGAAAAGCAAACGAGATATGATCTTAATGAAAAGACAACTTCTGAAGTCAATACCCGTTTAAATAATCTGACTCTGCTCCCCTGTTGTAGATAGAAAGCTGAGAAAACAGTCTGACAGCTTTCCACAAAACTCATCTGTTTGTGAAAGGCATTAGTTCCAGCACAGCAAAAATCAGGTTGTGTTAGTGCATTGCCAAGAACAGTTATTATAGGTGTCTAATCACTTTGGAAATTACCAGTCTTCCCATCCCTGTCATACTGACATTGCCTTTTTATATCCAACCTCCTAGACAATAAGACATTCTTATCTTGAGTTGTGTTACTAATAGCCTATTGGAGCCTCTTCGAAATCATTTAGGAATCTTCCCAAGTTAGGGATGCTAAGATAATTTTTCAGTTAAAGTCTTCAAATGGTAAAAGATCTCTTTTGAGTATTAACTTTGATATCTGTTGTATATGACTTATTTCCTTGTAGACTGTTGAAATTCATCCTTTATCTGGAAAACGCTTTTGTGACATAATACAGACTGATTTTGAAATACCTATGGGCTTTTCCTGTTGTTTTGGATTGTTTTTCACTCATGGCCTGTATCTTATAGTTTAATCATAATCTAAAAAGGAGACCATAAGCAGAACTCTTAATGCCATCCCCCACCCACCCACCACAAATGACATAAGCATCTGTAAGTTAAGGGTGTCAACAGGGCTTAGAAGAAGGCAAAGGGTTTAAAAGAAGGGCATGAAGATTTCTAAAGAAGAGAGGGTAAGTTACTGTCACACTGACAGTGAAGTAAAACATGGTTGCTACAGTAAATAGCATACACTTGGGCAGTGGTTACATGGAGTTTTACCCTTTTGCTTAATAGAAGATTTTTGTTTCTGTTGCTCAGTTATCATGCTTCAGTTTCCACAAATAGGTTAATTGTTTTAGTACCAACCTTACATTTTTGTTGTGATTTCATTTGTAATAAAGTAAACTTTAAAGTTTGTTAGCAGTGAAAAACAGCCAGACTTTTTTTTAATCTCCTTTTTCTTTCTTTATTAATTTATTTATACCCCAACATTAGCCCCCTTCTCCTCCTAATATTCCCTCACACAGATCCTCCCCCATCCTCTGGTCCCCTTCTCCTCTGAGAAGGGGGAGACCCTCCCACTTGGTATCTCCCCCCCTGCTCATCCAGTCACTGTAGGACCAGGTGTGTCCTCTCTCACTGACACTAGGTGAGGCAGCTCAGTTAGGGGAATGGGATCCATAGACAGACACCAGAGTCAGGGACAGCCCCTGCTCCAGTTGTTGGGAGACCTGCACACAGCCAGACTTTTAAACTTGTCCTTTCAATATTTTGTTTTTATTAACTAGATATTTATGAAGGAAGAGATAGAATACTAGCTTCAAAAATCAGCTTATGACAAATTACAAATATAAATGTAAAGAAAAGAACACTTAAAACACAAACTTCTTGGCTTCAAACTTACCAGAAAGTTACAATTTTTAAAACAGTATGGTATTGGCACAAAATGATTACTTTGTCCAATACAGTTGAACTCACAGCCCAGAGATAAACCCATGTATATATAGCAAGTTGATTTTTTATAATGGTACTAAGAACATGCAAGAGAAAGAGTAGTTGATTCAACAGGTGGTATCAAATAGCTGGATATCCACATGTAAAAGGACCTCTGCGCTACATCATATGTGAAAGTTAGTCCCAAATCCATCATTAAATAATGTATAGAATTCTGAAGCAAACACTAGATTAGATATGATCTTGGATTTGACAGTGGACTCTAAATGCACTACCAAGAGCATGAGCAATATTGAGAAATAAATGTTAAATTTTACCAAAAATTTACCATAAAACTAAAACTTTTTATGAGTCAAAGTGCATTATAAAAACAGAGAAGACATTGTATAGAATGATAGATTGTACTTGCAAATCAAATAGGGTAGGCCCCTCAGTGTCCATAGGGGAATGGGTTTAAGACTCCACTATAGAAACTAACGTCCATAAAAGTGCATAAACACTTTACGTAAAATGATGGTGCTTTTTAGTGTTGAACTAATAGTCAATACTAAAAATTTCTCTTGGTGGTATTCATTTTGGATGTGACTTCTAAAATATTGTCTTGAATAATTTTGATTGCTCTTGGATATCCTTTACACAGCATGGCTTTTCCTTCATAGTGCAATCAGTGCCCAAATCTTTCTCCCCTCTATTTGTCTTCGTATTTCATAGGGGATTCTTAAGTGGCTGCTCTACCTTCAGTCTGGTACTTAGCTAGTCAGTCCAAACTTAGCAGGACAGTAGTACATCTGAACGCACATCAAATTGTACACTGGACACTGTTCTGAGCACTGTACTGGAGTCCTCGTACTAGCTGTGAAGTAACTTCTGGGATTAGTCTCATTTTCCACATAAGCAAACTGAAGGGCTCCCCACCTCAAGCCCAGGCTTCTAGATGCAGAAGTACAAGCTTTCAACACTATATCAAGAGATTTCTTAATTTTAACATTTGTGGTTCCATTATAGGATAAAGCTACAGTTTCCTGGCTTATCATGAGATGTCCTTCATGATATAACTCCTTCTCTACTGGAACCTCAGGTCCTTCAGCTCCTTGCCATGTGTGCTATACTCCTATAACATCAGGTTTCCCTTCCTTTCCCTTCTCCTGTCCCACTCCCTCTCCTCCCTTCCTCCCTCCCTCCCTTCCTTCGTTTTTAGCATATTTGTACATTCATTACCGTCCCCTTCAACTTGCTGGCTCAGTTTACACAAGTTACCCTGCAGATGACGTGATAGAACACACCTGTAGTTCTAGCCTTCTCAAGGTGGAGATGGTGATCACAGACTTAAGACCATCCTGAGCTACATAGCAAGACCCTGTTTCAAAAAAAAAAATCACAACTGTTTAAGTCTCATTCTACAGTTTGCCTTCTAGAAACTTTGCTCGTTGCATTGTGCTCTGCTCCGTTTTCTCTGCCATGTGGAGTGATCAGCCCTCAGTACCACCGTGCCAACCACAAGTTATGGCTACTCTTCTGCATTGTCATATTGATCACATTTAATTGAAACTATATCCAAAATGTGAGCTGTGCTTTGTTCACTGTATGTAGCTCTTGTCAATCATAAATCACTCTGAGTAAAGTTTCAAGTGTTTGTTTATTTACAGATAATTATTCATGAAGATGGCTTACAGGGTCATAAACAGAAGAAGGCATGTGGGACTTCAACAACTTTCATCATTTGCACAAACAGGAAGAAGCTTCCTAGGTCCAGTAAAAGCCACCAAGTTTATTACAGATGCAGACTGTCATGAAAGTGTGTTAATCAGCTCAACAGTCAGGCTTCTTGAAGGATTGGATTTAACCTGTGCAGTGGGGCACCTTCTCAACGAAGCAGTTCAAGCTCAGAATGACACATACAAAATTGGAACCAGCACTCTTTTGTTTCTTGCTGGTGCATGGAGCAGGGCTGTTGAAGATTGTCTCCACTTGGGGATTCCCACTACAGTAATAGTGTCAGTAATGTCAGAAGGCTTGGACTCTTGCATCGAAGCAGTACTTTCCCTGCAAGTACCCATACACAGTGTGTTTGACCACACGCACAACACAAGTACAGTTTGCAAACTTGACACAGTTGATGTTAGTTTGCGTCCTTTTGCACAAGTCCCTTCAGGTTCTGAGTTGTTACAGGAAAAGCATGATTTCAAAGATGCTACATCTAAGTTACTGTTCACTTACAGTCTTTCTGGGAGACATGCTAAGTCACCCAAATTCTTCAAACCTCAAGCTAAAGTTGAAACAGAAAAAAACACATCACAAGCTCTGAAAAACAATCTATATACAGATTCCTTCTGCAGAAAGTCAGCACTAACTCACAGTAGGCATTTTAATAGGACAGATAATAGCCACTGGATAAGCAGACCTGATGGATTTCTAGAACAACTTGAATCAACTCCAAAACAACTTAAATGTAGTGGTTTGGAGGAGTTAGCAGCTGGCTTGAGCCATGGAGATCACAGCAGCATGACATTGGCCAAAGTAGCAGTGAGGCTGCAGTGGCAGACTCTGTGTCTGCAGCAAACCAACTGTACGGCACCCTTCATGTTTGATATTTCCCGACTCCTCACTTGCTGTGTCCCAGGTTTACCTGAAACTTTTTCCTGTGTTTGTCTAGGATATGTCACTTCTGTAACCATGTCTAGTATTACTCTGATCGAAGAATTGCAGGATCAGCCTTTCCAGGTGATTCTTATTGAGGGTGACCTCACAGAGAATTACCGCCACCTGGGATTTAATAAGTCTGTAAATATTAAGACCAAATTGGATAGTGGAGAGTTTTCAGAAGATAGTGCAGAAGAGCTGTGGACAAATCATGTGTTACAGGTGTTAATTCAGTTCAATGTGAACCTTATCTTGGTACGAGGAAGTGTATCTGAACACTTGACTGAAAAATGCAGGCACAGTAAGCGGCTGGTAATTGGGTCAGTAAGTGGCAGTGTGTTACAGGCATTTGCAGAGGCCACCGGAGCAGTGCCAGTGGCCTATGTCACACAAGTGCATGAGGACTGTGTAGGCAGCGGGGTCTCTGTGACCTTCTGGACGAGTCCTCATGATATAAACAGGAGCAGCAGAATGGCAATCTTGCTAACAGCAGAAGGAATTAATTTGATTACAGCAGTACTCACTAGTCCAGCAAGTACTCAGATGAAAACCAAGGAAGACAGGTTCTGGTCTTGTGTTTATCGCTTACATCATGCCCTGAAAGAGGGGAAGGTCCTCCTTGGAGGTGGTGCTGTTGAACTTTTATGTCTTAGCCATCTTCAAATTCTTGCTGAGCAATCTTTAAATAAAGGAAACCATGCTTGTTTAGGATGGCTTCCTGATTCTTCTTCTTGGATGGCCTCATCTCTGTCAGTCTACAGACCTACTGTGCTGAAGTGCCTGGCAGGAGGGTGGCATGAATTCTTGTCAGCTGTCATGTGTAACACTGCCACTCAACCTTCAGCAGTGGAAGCTAGCACATTCATTCAACATCATGTACAGAATGCCACCAACTCTGGCTCTCCTTCATCTTACATCTTGAGTGAATATAGTAAACTAAGTAGTGGACTTTTTCATTCAGATGTTTCAGATAACCTGGAGCTGGTTCCAAGAGTTTATGATACTGTTACACCAAAGATTGAAGCATGGCGCCGAGCATTGGATTTAGTGCTCTTAGTGCTTCAGACAGACAGTGAAATAATTACTGGACTTGTACACACACAGATGAATTCACAGGAATTAGATGGAGTCTTATTTTTGTAGTGTGTGTGTGCAGGCGTGCATGCATGTGTGTGCATGGACACGTACATGGGTGCCTGAGGAGGCCAGAAGAGGGGATCGAATCCCTGGGAGCTATAATTATAGGTAATTATAAGCCACCCAACAGTGGGTGCTGGAAACCCAGCCATACAAGAGCAACAAGCACTTTTGAGCCATTTCTCCAGACTCAATAAATTCTAATAAATCATAGTGTGTAAATTACCAGCTATTGCCAAGAATAAAAGTTGATGTCTATTGATAACTGCAGTTCTGTTTTTTATTTTACCCTATTTATAAGGTAGCCTGTTACCACAGGTGCTATAAGATAAACACCTGGATCAGAGGCAAAGAACTTCTGCTATTTGCCACAGAATCTGCATTCAGAGTGTTGTGTTGGTTTTGTCAGTTCCTTGGCTTCTCCCACAAGAGCTGCCCAGAGGGCCAGTGGCAGGACCCTGAACATTGAGTGTTCTCTTGTAGGAGAGGAACATGGAATTTGCAATATTCATTGCTTAAGCTGAAAAAACCCACTTGTTTGTCCAACACGAGTGATTACATCCTTCAACATTGTTTAAGTCAAGCCAGACATGGACATGGACTAGGTAAAGATTGGTCAAGGTATAATAGTCTTTGTATCCACAGTAAGTAAGCATAGAGATGATAATCTCAGTTACTTTCCTATTTGCGGTAATAAGACACCATGACCAAGGCAACTTAGAAAAAAGAAAGTGTTTAATTTGTAGTTATGGTTTCAGAGGGTTAGAGCCATGATGGCAGAGCAAAGACATGGTGATAGGAACATCTGAGCGCTGATATCTTGATTGATAGTAAGAGGTGGAGGGGTGGGGTAGGGTGGGAATCGTGCAAGTCTTTTGAAACCTCAAAGACCTAATTTGGTAACACACCTCCAATAAGGCCACCCCTTCTCATTCTTCCAAAATAGGTCCACTGTGCCTGGCTTTATTCGTCAAGCACATCTCTGTGTGTGTGTGTGTGTGTGTGTGTGTGTGTGTGTGTGTCTGTCTGTCTGTCTGTCTGTCTGTCTGTCTGTCTTATTTTACTTATTCACTTTACATCCAGCTCACTGCCCCCCCTCACAATTCTCCTCTCATCCCCCTTTCCCTTCTCTGAGTGGGTACCCCCACCCCTGGTGTCCACCAACCCTGGCACATCAAGTCTTTGTGAGGCTAGGCCTCTCCCACTAAGGCCAGACAGGGCAGCCCAGCTAGAAGAACATATCCCACATACAGGCCACAGCTTTTGGGCTAGCCCCCAGTCCAGTTGTTTGGGAGCCACATGAAGACCAAGCTGCACATCTGCTACATCTGTGGGGGTTGGGGGAAGGCTAGTCCACCCTGTGTATGTTCTTCGGTTGATGATTCAGTCTCTGAGAGCCCCAAGGATCCAGGTTAGTTGACTGTTGATCTTCCTGTTGAGTTCCTATCCCACTGAGAGCCTTTGGTCCTTCCTCCTGTGACATAAGAGTCCCCAAGCTCCACTGGGGCTGTAGGTATCTGCATCTGTCTGAGTCAGCTGCTAGGTGGAGCCTCTCAGAGGACAGCCATGCTAGACTCCTGTCTGCAAGCATAACAGAATATCAATAATGCCAAGGCTTGGTGCCTACCCATGGGTCTCAAATTGGGCTGGTTATTAGTCGGCTAGTCCCTCAGTCTCTGCTCCATCCTCAGTCCCTGCATTTCTTGTAGACAGGATAAATTTTGTGTCGAAAGTTTTGTAGGTGGGTTGGTGTCCCTGTTGCTCCTTTTGGATTCCTGCCTGGCTACAGGAGGTGGCCTTTTCAGGTTCCATATCCCTAATGTTGTGTGCCATAATTAAGGATACCCCTATTGATTGACTCTTGGATGCCTCCTTTATCTCAGGTCTCTGTCTCTTCCCAGAGATGCCCCCTACCTCCTCATACCCATCAGTTACAGATTTTCCATTCATTCTCATGGCCATCTGGTCATCCCTCCCCATACCTAATCCTGAACCCTACCCCCATTTCCCTCTCCATCCCCTCTCCCATCCATTCCCTCCCTTCATCTGCCTCTTAGGAATATTTTATTCCCCCTTCTAAGTGAAATTCAAGCATCCTCTATTGTGCCTTCCTTCTTGTTTAGCTTCTTTGGGTCTGTGGAGTATAGCATGATAGCTGTATTTTATAGCTAATATCCACTTATAAGTGATCACATGGCATGTAAGTCCTTTTAGGATTGAGTTATCTCACTAGGATGATATTCTTAAGATCCATCCATTTACCTGCAAAACTTATAATGTCTTTGTTTTTAATAGGTGAATAGTTTTGCATTATGTAGATGAACTACATTTTCTTTATACATTCTTCAGTTGAGGGACATCTAGGTTGTTTTCATTTTCTGGCTATTATAAACACAGCTGCTATGAACATAGTTAAGCAGGTGTCCTTGTGGGAAGGTGGAGAGCATCTTTTGGGTTCAAGCATATCTTTAGAGAAATGTCTTTTTTTTTGTCTTTTTCAATCCCACAACCATTATTAATATTTAAGGGATGGTTTTCCAAGACTTCTTAAATTTTGACCCCAAAGTGGCATCACTGAACGTACCAAATTCTCTACTTGTATGAATTGACCTATTCAGTAATTTGACTAACAGCCTTAGGAAGAGTTCTGTGGTGTCACCACCACTCCTGCATAGTGACTCACCACTGCCTGTTAATGCAGGGTCTTTTTCCACTTTATAGTCAGTCTCAGTTTGGAAGATGAAGAAAGATCCTTGCAACTTTAAGACTTTATTATAGTTTCATAAAGGCTGTTAATTCTCCCAGGCTTAAATGTGTAACTCATCTGAAACTTATCTTGGTAGACTATACGAATTAAGAATGTAAGCTTTCTCTAAGTTCATCCACAATGTTAAGTTTTCATTGTCACTTGGATAATTCTTAGCAATGAAAAGGAAGTGCTGGGTGGCAGGGAGAGAGTTCACATTCACATTTCTGTTCTTTCTAGCTGGGGATTCATAGCGTTAGCTTTTCATTTTGTTTTTGGCTACAATGCAGAATGTTAATTAAGAGGTTATTACAGTAGCTGAAACATGAAGGCAGCATCCTTTTCTGAAAGTATCTACCTGTGTTGCACCTAGTTACTCTCCTAAAGCCTCACTTAGAACAGTTGGTTGGTTCCATTAGTCAGTTCTTTGCTCTGAAAAAGCCTTGTGAGACCTTCTTTCCTCTGACCTGTAGGTGGCAGACTTCCTCTCCTGTGGTCCCTAAATTTCCACATCATATTTAAAACCCTCAAAATGAAGGAGATTTTTTTAGATCGGGGTAGCACCAGTCTGCAGTGAGGGTGTTTACTGCACAGGGAGCCTTAATAGGCTTTGTTGTCTGCTCTGGAGTTCACCTGCTTTATAAAGTTTTGGCTTGGGAAAGTGATTCAAGTTCTCTTGATCTGTTATTACCGGGTCTTTAAATGACAGCTGAGTGGCATCACTCTTGCTATGATTTCTGGCTCTAATGTTGGGGATTTAGAGTTACAATGAAGCCCAGTTAAAAGGGAGAAAATATAGCACTGTTTTTCTTAAAGCCAAACTTGAAAACGTGAATGTACTTAATGCTACTAAATTTGGAGGCTAGGAACTAAACTTGGGTTCTTTTCAGAAGTGCTCTTAACTATGAGCCATATCTGCACCTCCAGCAGGTATTTGATAATTGTACAATACTATGACATGGACTTTTGTGTTTAATGGTTTTGACTAGCTGCAGAATAATGCATGGCTTCTGAGCATAGCTAGGCAGAGCTCATTTCTTATGGTTAGCAGGTTAGCTGTTTAAATGCATACACAGCTTCCAGGTGCCATAGTTCACTGTGTCATAATGCATTGTAAGTTAAGGTCATCCATGATGTATAAAGAGCTAATAGACCTTACCATGCCTGTCTCCTGTATGTCATCCAAATGACAGGAATATTTTTCTAAGGGCCAAATGTCAGCTCTGACTTCTATAAAATGTCCATATTTACCAATATGTGAGTTTATGCTTATTATACTGCAACACATCATTTAGTCTGTTTCAGACTATTCTGATATTTGTTTTTTTCTTTTTCTACTTTTCTTGGTAATTGCATTAGAAAAATTTCCAATGTATGGAAAATGTTTTTGTATAATCTCTACTGTGAATTAAAGGAAACTGAGAAGTTCCTGGCCTATTAACATTGAGCAGTGTTATTTGATGCCCAGAAATGGGTAGAGCTGTTTCCTGTGTTGACCTCTTGAGTAGGAGGTGGGAAAAGCTACTTCTCCAATGTTTCCACTTTGGAATAAATGTCAAATTAGAGCTAAGAGAAGCTAAGTGTAACAGTACATTCCAGCCCTTGGTCCTGAGGCAGGAGGATCACATGGGGTACATGGAAAGATCTTGTCTCCAAGAAGGGGGGGAAAAAGAAACCAATGTAGGTGTGATACATTTTCCCTTTATCTCTTTATCGCTTAATCAAATAAAATAGTCACAGATTTTTCTAAAAAGTAGGATGTGGTGGGGGCATCTACCAAACGTCAAATCTCCAGACCCAGAACCTGAGCCCCTGTCTGAGCTGGAGTCTCCTTTTGGTCCCATGCTCACACAGCAGGATTGTCGGGAGAGCTTTTACAGCTGCTCATGTGCCAGGCTGTCATTTCTGATTCTGGGGTGGGAATGCACACTACTGCGTTAGGGGTTTTTTTCTCTTTCTTTTTAAGCAATGTCCCCCACCACCACCCCGGCTAATAATAGTGTGTAACAAAACCAAAGCAAGACACTTAGAAAAACCCTCATGGGGCTCTTTAGGCTTTCTTTGAGCCATACTGACTGCTTGAACATAGTAGTTGGGGTGCAGCAGCCTCGGAGTGGGCAAAGGCATCCAAAGAGTGCCCAGTAATGCCAGCCATCTGCTAATAAATGGAGTTTCCAGGGACTGAGAAGGAAGACAGAAACATTTTAGGATTATATAGTGGTGATTGTTCAAAAGTAGATGTGCTTTAAAAAAAAACATTGAAGTGTGCATTTAAAGTGGAGAATTTTACAGTGTGTGTTATATATCCTAATAAACACAGTGAGACCAGGTTTGTAACTTCACTTCAGAGCCACGGGGCTAGGCTCCGGGTTCACAGCTGTCCTGGGCTGGAAGGTAACACCGAGAGCAAGGGAAGCTCCAGTAGCTCCCAGTCGGACTCCTGATGTTGGGTACAAGATGAACTTGGTGATCATTTTGCTCTACATATTCATGGCTTGTGCTATGGAAAGATAAGAAAT